CAAATAAAGCATTTCTATTCACTGTGAATCTCGGCCTAGGGTACTCGGTCTGCTTATGTTCAGTTTGCATACCAGGTGTCGGCTCAGCCTACTTTTCAGAACTAGACTGTGAGCATCTCAGCCATCAGTTGCGATTGTGTATGCTAAAGGCTTGGGTGTACTTGCGTATATGTGCCAGTATCACCCTCTAAATCATCGGTTTCAGGAGCATAAAGAAAAGCATAGTCTTTGATGTGCAGATCTGATTTTCTCTTTAACAGCAGAATTTTAAGTTTTCATCTCAGATAAGGACTGTTGGTTTTATAGCACAGAAAGGTTTTGTAAGGACGCTGCTGTTCTTTAGAAGCTTTTGATTTTAGCTTTAGAAAGAATGATTTAACACCTTATAAAGAGTCAGTGGTGATCATCCTTTCTCTTTGTTGACTTTCCTGTTATAGTCATAGATTCATGGACGGGGTGGAGGAGCCTGAAGACAGTCGAACCCAATCGCCTCATTGTATAGATGGCACTGCCCAGCACTATGCATCTGTTTCTTTCATGTCTCTCAATGACATGGGAAGCTCTATGGGGGCAAGGACTCTATTTACCTCGTTCACTGATGTGTCCCAGAGCCCCAGGAGGTACTCATTTAGATTTGCTGAGCAAATGAAGAACCTAGGTAGGAAGAGAAAAGACTTACCCAAGCTTGTCCAGCCAGTAAGTAGCAAAATCTGACCTAGAAACTTTATTTTCTGACTACAAATATTGTGACTTTTCCATGATTTAAAAAAAAAAAAAGACTTGGGAGTCTAAATTATTTGGGGCCTTAAACTTTATAAAAGATCACAGTTTACATTCATTGGATACTATTTTTCAGGTCTATAAACTACTTATTTCATCGAAACCTATAGTACAACTCATTGAAGGTATTTTTAGCTATGTTTTTTATAGAAAGATTAATTTATAAAGAGTCAGGGCCAGAATTCAGATCTGCCTTTTTCTTCCTCCAAGTTTAATGATTTTTCTCCTTTTGCCCTTTCCATGGGGATCAATGTTTATCAATATGAAGAATTATCCAGGCCCATAAATAACTAAGTGAAATTTTTTAGCCCAGTGCCTTATGTGGCGCCCACCTTAATACCTGCAGAATTTTGTTAAGTAAGTGCTGGCTTAGCCTAGATGTCTGTATTTAAAAGGCAGCAAAAGAAGCATTGCTTTTCAATTTCCTTCGTCTGTGGTGATCAGTCTTGGCCTTCTGTGCAGACTAATTTGAAAGGCTTTTCTGCTCCCTTATCTTTTTCTCATTTTCCCATAATTGGACTTGAATTTCCTCATTTTGGGGACCTAAATGATTTGCAGGCTTCATAGCTTTCCTACTAAATTACAGCTGCCCCTGAGATGGAATGGTATTAAAACTTAGCCGGAATAAAGACTGTTGCCTTTTTGTGTGTTTGTTAAGGAGAAAAGAGAGGAATGTGACCATGACAATGAGGCCTTGTAACATGGACCACAGTCTTTGAAAGTGATAAACCTCCTCTTACCCAATGAAATCCTTGTCCAGGCTCCATTGGACTAGGTCCTTGGGACTTAGGATAATCTCACCACATCTCCACTATGGTATGTAAGCCCATCTGCCCTCCACTTTTTGGCAGAGGTCATGCATGAGTAAGACCACTGTTTCCTGTGCACAGATTTGGAGATTTCAAGAGGGGTGACGCTCTGCAGCATGCACTTCGGTGCAGGAAAGAAGCAGCTGCCTGCCCACAGGATTGACTATGTTACTACCTCCATTTATCTGCTTTATTTCTCAACTGTGGCTATTCTGATGTTTATTTCTTTTGGAAAAATGTTAGAAATAGTGACCTTTTAAAATCATGACCATGAGAAGTAGAACGTCTCACTCTTTAAAAAGAGCATTGCCTTTCTTTTCTAACAATTTATACATTCTTTACCTGGTATCAAACCCTTATATCTTTTTGTGTAAAATGTACATTTAGCCAAAGGTAGTAAGAGGCGCGGTGGTGGTTCTGCAGGCTCATTCTCCTGCACTCTCTCTGGGTTTGAAGAATCCTACTTAGTTGCTTGTAATCAATGTTGCTGTCTACAAAGATATACTTTGTACTGCATCTTCCATCTGTTCATTCTTTTTTGGGTAAAGAGTCAAAGGCAGGAGATGGAGGTGTATTGGCAAGAAGGGGCACTTAATCCTGGTAATCTTTTATTTTCTTCCTCTTGGTTTCTTTTATGTGATTCTGGCTTCCAATCATGGGGCTAGTGGTAGATGATTTGCAAAGACAGTCACCTGGAGTTTCCCCCACCCCTATATGCACAAGCTATTCTACCCATCAAGAAGGCACTCCCCTCCTTCTCCCTTGAAGTCTGGGCTGGCCTAGTGTGACAGAATGTGGCAGGAGTGATGCTGTGACAATTACAAACTTTAAGAAGGGGCAGTTTCTGAGCCACCATGTAAGAAGGAAGTCCAGGCTATCCTGCTGGAGAGAGGGACACATGCTGGCAGTAGGAGCGTGCAGGTTCTGCCGTCTGCAGCCAGCACCATCCCGCACATGGCTGTGAGGCCCTAGGGTCCTCCAGCCCCAGGTGAGCCTGGCCCACACCATGTGGGACAGAGATGAGCATTCCTCTCTGAGCTCTGCTGCAAATAGCACATCCGTAAAATTGCAAGCAAATAAAAGAATAGATGTGATAAGCCACTGACTTTGGGGGCAGAGCAGAAGATAACTGAGACAGGATTTTTATGTTTTCCAAATCTTCCCTCTTTTCTCAGATCTGATTATTGTTTGTTCAAGTGCGTCTGTGATTCTGTTTCGCTGAGGGAACTGCTAACTGATGAGGATTTGCGATGTGGTGGTAAAATGTGTTACGCATTTCTTAGCAGCTGGTTATCATTTTGTTCCTCACCTGCTTTATATTTGTCTTCGCTGGGAGCAGACGTGTCTCCTGCAATGCCCCCCACCCCCCGCCCCAGGTTGTTTCTGTGGGGCACACAGTGATACCAATTTCTTTTTTTGTTGTTTAAATATATTTTATTGATTTCAGGGAGAAATGGAGAGGGGGAGAGAGATAGAAATATCAATGATGAGAATAATTGATTGGCTGCCTCCTTCACGGCCCCAACTGGGGATCAAGCATGCAACCTGGGTGCCCCAACCAGACTGGGAATCGAACTGTGCTTCCTGGTTGATAGGCAATGCTCAGCCACTAGCCAGGTGTGACACCAATTCCTTAGAGTTGTTTGAGAGAGAAAAAAATTCTCAAAAGAAAAACAAGGAAAAGGGGGGGGGGGGACGTCTTATTTTATCTAAAGAGTATTTCCTACTACTAGATTAGACCATACTCACCTCTCAGACTCTGTGAATAGCTGAATATTTACTCATTGGTGGACAAAAACCAAAAGAGAAGGATCTGGAATTTAAAATTAAAGCAAGGCCAAGAAAATCCAGGGAGTTTGCAATGTGCATTTTCTGTTCATAGTATAAGTATTCCCAGGAAAACTTAGAAGATTTTATTTTCAATTTTTTGGAAGGAACTGAAACCACTTTTAAAAGTATAACTTTTAATTTCCTGAGTTGAATGAATGCTTGTCCTTGTATCAGCTTCTATAAGCAATTTCCTTTGGAAGCTGAAGGTAATATTGTTCTCATTTTGTTGTCAGGTTTTTGTACTTTAATTAAAGATTTATTGTTTTTCCTGTTGTCTTTCTGCCTCGCAGTTTATTTCCTCAAACTCTCCTAAGCAGTTGATTAAAAAGAATGACTGGGATCATGTTTGTTGCAGGGCTGTGAAGTTCACGTATCAAATGGATGGAAAAGGCTGGGTTTAGAGGATCTGAGTTGCCTTTTTAAAAAATATTTTTTTATTGATTTAAGGGAGCAGGAGAGAGAGAGAAACGTTGATCGGCTACCTCCTACATGCCCCACACTGGGGGATAGAGCCTGCAACCCAGGCATGTGCCCTGACTGGGAATCAAACCATGACCTCCTGGTTCATGTGATGATCCTCAACCACTGAGCCACACCAGCTGGGCATGAATTGCCTTTCTTAATTGACAAAATCGAATCCAGCCCACTTGAATGATTTGTTCACTGTGTCACATACTTCCAGTGACGATTTAATAACATTGATTCCACGAGGTCCCTAGTCAGTGGCTCTCATACTGTTTTGCTGTTTTGATAAAGAGGGGTTTTTGAAGGAGGTTGGGAAGAGAGAATTTTCTAGAGATGACAGAGGGGAATGGTTTTTTTTTTTTTCAAATTAATGAATGACAACTTTATTTCTTAAGGCTGATGAAAAACCATTATGATTTCTAATAAAGAAAATACAACATCTCAATGAAAAACTATGATAACTATATTTACTCATTAAATACTAAGTTTTCTCAAACACAACTTGAAAACATCTGGCATGCATGTTTCATCTCAGTACAGTGGATTCGAGATCAAGTATACATGTTACATGCATCAAGGCTAAATTACAAATTATCATAGTCGTCATCATCATCGTCGTCATCATCATCATCTTCACGTTTTCTTTTCAATGCATTTGTTGATTAATTGGAAGAATTTTGTGAA